AACAACAAAATTGTGCATCACACGAAAAAAGTTTTATATTTACTGAACGACGACGGCGGTAGGTCGATAAAAAATAAATTGCAACTGGAAAATTAATTTAATTATGCATGTTAAACGTTAATTCTAATACATATACAAATACTTGACATGGCTTAGTAAAAAATGTCAAACAAAATAGACTAACGAAGCAAAAGATCAATATTAGAACTTCTTTCACTGTAAGCCGCCATTCATTTAATTTAATCTGAGAGCAGCTGAGCAAAAAGAGGAAAAGCACAGCCATACCATTATTTTTGTATTGAAGACTAGACGACGCGACCGTCTAGTGTCAAAGAGTCAATTAAGCTGACGTTCTATTTACAAAGAGTAAAGAATGAGTTGAAAGAGAATTGCCTACAGTATAAGGATATTTAGTTATTTATTTACTTAACTCATGTTCACATGTATACTGTAAGGCCGTAATAACGTCACATCTGATAATAACATGCTTGCATTACATCTTATGTTAGACTTCTCAATCATATTTATAATAATTATGTAACATCATTATAATCTTATACAAATGCTATCATCAAAATTAGACCCTGCTTAAAACTGATGTTAAAGAATTGTCAAATACACACTGATAACAGCGTGTACATAACAACTCTTCAAAACTTTTCGATAGCAACTGTTAAATCCATACTTACATTATAAATGTAGTAGTGAATTTGTTTGTTTGTTAGCTTTAGCGCCTAAACCACTAAAAAGATTTTAAAAATTATTTACCTAATGGAAACCTACATTATCAGCAAGTAACATAGGGTAACTAGGATAAATAGTAATACAACTTATTACCACAATAACCGACATACACGTGGGCGAAGCCGCGGGCAAAAGCTAGAATATAATACATGCGATCGATAAGTATATTTTATATGCCAGTAATAATAGCATTTTAAATTTACATACCAAGCATCAGTGTCATAAATTATTATCTAGAAAATTTTATACCAAAGGAACATCATACTTTCTCAATCCAATTATGATAATAACCAGATTGAAGGATCAAAGCCCTTTTATAGGGTTGGCTGTAATAGCTCTACCACTCTGAAAATAATGTTTAATTCAAGTAGTTTTTCAATCTTTTTCAACGTCTGTGAATCTCTTTGAGTGAGTGTGAGAATAATTTCATTTTTGATGTTTACTTAAATTATTGCTTGTTATAATATATTAAGCGTCATTTTGTGCTTTGATCTGCTAAAAAAAATTAACCTGCTAAAGACTTTTTTCTGTAAGGGCTTTTCACAAAATGAATATTTATAAACCTGCCTGAATAAATGCTCTGCGAAACAAGAAAGAGTTAAAAAATGACTGTTTTGTTCCGGGGTTCAAACAAACAAAAACATTCCTGAACTTTATTACTTTAGTATAGACAACAAACATTATCTTACACTTGTCTTATTGCTTGGAAAATCGATTGTTTCATATTAAGAGATAAGAGTATTGTTAGACCAACAAAGTTAAGTAGGTATATCTTTCAAAGAACGGTTGCAAATCTTTGTAAATTGAGTACCAAGATTATGAAATCTATCCATACTAATCTATACTAATATTATAAATGCGAAAGTGAGTCTGTCTGTCTGTCTGTCCGTCTGTCTGTTACTCTTCACGCCTAAACAGCTGAACCGATTTAGATGAAATTTGGTATAGAGATGGTCCGGGACCCTTGAAAGGACATATCATATCCCAGAAATCATCCTTTAGGGGGTAAAAAGGAGGGTGAAAGTTTGTATAGGGAATCAATAACCGCTGAACCGATTTAGATGAAATTTCATATATAGATACTTAGATTGTTGAGGAAAGACATAAGCTACTTTTACCGCAATAACCGACATTTACGGTGGCGATACGGCGAGGAAAAGCTAAGTAATTATAAAATAAATATTTCATTCCTTACGTGAAAACCCTGAGACAATCTGCGATAAATTAACCACCAGGGTCCAATTATGGTTGCCAGATCAATGCTCCGATCAATGTAATTTACAATGGAATACGGAATCATTTTAACCGCCGCGCCGTCAACAAATCAAGGAAATTCTCATTATTCTGGTGTCTGACAAAAAAAAAGAATAAGTTCTTAAATCTCAAATCTGTAGTTTTGTGTGTATGTCACAGGATGCGATAATGCCCATTATGAACTGGCTTTAAAATATCTTTTTTTGTGAATGAACTTTTTATACTGTTGGACTTACATTTAAATTTGAAGAAGACATTGCGCAGAAATTATCGAGATATTACAGTCAAATTCCAAAACAATTTGACATTACATTATTTAATATAAATATTATGTAAAAAAAAGTGACGGAGAATTAAAGCTCATAGCTAACGTTAAAACAGGCATTTCACCCATACGGACGGCAATTTACAATGCTCTAACTATACAAGTCCACATTACTTTTTTTTAATGGAATAAATGACAAATAATAATATTAACACAACTTTAAACTTGTTTGCAATAATCTGCAATTCAAAGAATTTCAAAAGCAGTGAGTAAATGATTTCCCTTATTATTAAGTGAGAACGATATTCAGAGCCACTTTTCAAAGGTTTGATATTCAATCAATAATTATAGATTTTTAAACCACCCTTAAAAGCAATTTGGTAAACTATTAAAACTAAATATATTTATTTTCACTTATTATTACAATATATTCTTAGAATACTATAAATATAAAATCATGTATATAAATAAAATACCTACGTCATATTTTTCTTTGTACAATATATTTTCAAAATAGATTTACCCCTGATCAGTCCCTGCAATTCCATAAATTACTCACTGTTTAATTACCTTTTGGTTCAAACACTGAAAGTGCTTTAATACATTTGCTTTAATATGTTTAATAAAAACATGACTAAACAACTGAAAAGTATAAATTTATTTACCCACGAAACCACACAGATAATATTAAAAAAACTATGAGTATGGCGAAATCTTTTTCTCATTCTCTATAAAGTGAAAAAGGTTTTAGCCCGTTGAGTTTTCGGCACATCTACCTGAATAGCTCTGTTTTTTTGTTAGACCTATTTTTTTAATTAAAAAAATAAAAATAAAAGTGAGTTTAATTTCAAAATGTATTTTAACAAGTCCCCCCAAGTGCCGACAGACGAGAGTATAAATCTATACTAATATTATAAAGCTGAAGAGTTTGTTTGTTTGTTTGTTTGTTTGTTTGTTTGAACGCGCTAATCTCAGGAACTACTGGTCCGATTTGAAAAATTCTTTCAGTGTTAGATAGCCCATTTATCGAGGAAGGCTATAGGCTATATATCATCACGCTAAGACCAATAGGAGCGGAGCACCAATGAAGACTGTTTCAAAAACGGAGAAAATTTATTACTATTGAGAGACGCAGACGAAGTTGCGCGGGTCAGCTAGTTATAAATATAAGTAAATATGATTTCTTGGGGTAAACGAGCTTTTGAGTGGAGTGGCAAAAGAAGTGTAGGACGCCCGCAAGCACAAGATGGCTGGCAGATTCTGGATGCAACAAGGCGAAAATCGATCAAAGTGGCGTGCAATGAGAGAGTCCTATCTACAGCAGTAGACTACGATAGGCTGATGATGATGAAATGAGAGTTAAATATACTACCTATTGGTGTGTTGCCATTATTCAATATCTTTACTCAGGTCTCAATGAAATCAAGTGTTAATAATCGTCTTGATTTATTTCGATCAGAATTTTAATTAATTAATTTCAGATTTCTTTTCTATTATATGCATAAGCCTAGATATCATCATCAGCAACAGCCTTTACTAGTCCACTGCTGTACATAGGAAATAGGCTCCTTAGAAAGGAGGTTTTGACCTTGGGTTCCAAGACAGTTTATTTTTTTCCTGGGAGTTCCCAAATATCATAACTCAGTGTGATCGTGGGTCACTGCTGTTGATTCTGGTGTATACAAGTTACAATGGAGGGTGTGTGGGAGGGATTCATTAAAACAGCCTAGATATTATTTTGGTATTAATAAAATTTCTGAACGACAATACAAGTCATTTAGAGTTTAGACCTAGGTAACGCTGTAAATTTATTTAATATCTTCTCTTTATATACATATATATGTATGTTCTAATATGTTATATTTAAATATATCACCATAATCGCGAACACAGCTTCTATGAGTCCTAAAAATATCTCAGTTAATTATATGTGTATCATCTATATTATTATCATCAACAGCCTTTAGTAGTCCAGTTCTGGACACAGGCCTCTCCTTAGAAAGGAGGTTTTGGCCTACTATACCACGCTGGCCAGACTGGTTGGTATAGGTTTTATGTCCTTCCTTCTCTTTACAGTAGTGTTGGTCCGCGTAGTTATACATCTAAATGTATGTGATATTATATGACATAATTCAATATATCCAAAATCTTAACCTTTTTCAGAAAATGATGAGAACCCACCTAAATATGGTTATGGAGTTAGACACGTTCAATTAGCTTTATTCCTTCTATGCCTTACGGTTATTATTATCGGCAGAACTCACATAGGAGTTACTATTGTAGCCATGACTATTGATCCTAAGATTAATACCTCCCTGGTCAACAACACAGCAGGAGAAAACAACCCACATATTTTAATATGCTCAGGAAACCGAACAGAAAGCGAAAGTATAAACTTTAAAAGAATAAACAATGTATATAACAATATAGCTTTAGTAAATATTGATCAAAACTATAAGGTAAGCCCCATGTGCTGTTATTATTCACTCAGTTTCAGTAGATTTAAATTTAATTACGCGACAGAACGGGTGTTATGTCACTCCAATACATAGGAAGAATACTCTGATCTCGCGAAGTGATCATGCCTGGCGAACCGTATATATGTATTTACTAATTGGTTATGCAAACTTTCGTTGCGTGTGTGCCAAATTTAATTGAATACCTTTTTTAGACGTGGAGCTGGCCTAAATCCGTGCAAGAGTTGGTGTTGAATGCCTTTTTTCTCGGATACATGATCATGATGTTTCCAATGGGACTATTATGTCAACGTTATGGTGGCAAGTTACCGTTACAGATTGCTCTCTTTGTCAATGGAATCGTGTCTATTGCCACGCCTTGGCTGACAGTATGGGTAAGATTTTGTGTTTATGGCTTTGAAAATGACAAACTTCCATACAATCGTTGATGCTCAACTGCACGGATGGCGTAGTGGTTTAAGCGGTCGCCACGCCGCTTCCTACTACGACGAGTGTTGTGGGTTCAAACCCCATATGGTGGACGACACTTTGTGAGATCCACAAATTGTTGTTCTGAGTCTGGGTGATCTTTGTGTCCGTTTCATGTATTGGGTGAAATTTCCAAAAATCCTTTTTTAGTAGGTGTTTACAACATAAAAAGCATCAGCTGCCAAATTTCCAAGTTGGCAGCCTCCGCTTTGATGATCAGTCAGGGCAAGTACTATTATATATTATGTATAAACAAAAGTATTTTACTAAGTATAAAGCAAAAAAAAGAGCAGTTTCTGATCTGCGCGAAGTAAAACATAATCAGAAAACAAATACTCGTAGTCGTCAATTCATTTACGCTAGCTTAAATTGTGTGCAGAATTTCAGGGGAGGGCGGGATAGGGTGCCACCGTCTCGAATGTGATGTAGTTAGAGTTTATAATGGGTATCCGCCTTTTGTCGTGTAATTCTGATAATTGTGTCATAACTTTTTAATTTTAGACAATCCTAAATAATATATATATATACATAATACATATATATAATAATAAATAATAATAATAAAAGTATTATATCAAATATATTGCAAGTTTCCCATAAACCGTAGCGCACTTAAAATGATTTAATATAACAGTCATTCGGTAAACTCAATTTACTCTTTAATTTTCTCTAGGGAGACTGGAAGGCACTGTGCGCCTGCAGAATTTTGCAAGGCCTTTCCCAGGCTGGTACATACCCTTGCATCCAAAGTGTCCTGGGCAAATGGGTTCCTATAAATGAACGTGCTACTCTTGGTTGTTGTGTTCATACAGGTAATGCGAACATCTTTTCACTATTTTCAGTGAATACTTCTATAAACAAAGTAAAATATGTATGGCGAAATGAGTTTCAGGTGTTCATGGGCAGCGGTACTCACTTTCCACCAGGTCACAATTCCACTTTCCTCTGAAAAAAACATTCCCAAGGAGGGTCCTTAGGAACGTAAAATAGGCTATGATTTGTTTACCAAACTTTATACCATTGTAAAGCGTCTTCTTTATGATAGAGGGGCAGACAAGCAGACGGGTCACCTAATGGAAAGTGACTATCGGCGCCCATGAACGTCTGCAACTCAGGAGTCTGCAACTCAGTTGTACAGTCTTATCGTATCTAAAAACTTCTAATGTAGTGTTGGATCAGTCTTCTAGGAACTTATCTGAGGATCTATAAATTGTGTGATTTTCATTGATGAGACGAAACATTTGATGATGTTGATTATTGTTCTAGTAATTGTTTACTAACCGTTAAGATCGTATTGCAAAGATTGTGGTAAGGGTATATATAGGTATTTCAAACCTGTTCATTTCTTAAGAATTTTACCTCAATTGTGTCATAACTAAAACTATATTAAAATTTGTGTTCCACAGGACTTACAATAGGCACAGTAATTGCTTTTCAACTAGCAGGATTTTTAGGATCTAGTAAATGGGGCTGGCCATCTATTTTCTACGCCACTGGAGTAATATGTCTCTTGTGCTTCATTCTTATCACGATATTTGGAGCTTCAAACCCTTCAGAACACAAGTCTGTTACAGAGAAGGAAAAAAATTATATCAAGGGATCTTTTATCGACAATAATGATAAGGTAATGATGATGTCTGTCTGTTAGCTCGTCACGCTTAAACCGCTGAACTGATTCAGATGAAACGTGGTATAGTCTGAGCCCGGGAAAGGACATAAGATAGTTTTTCTTTCAGAAGACATTATTTAGGGAGTGAAAAGGAGGTTGGTAGTTTTTATGGGAAATTAATAACCGCTGAACCGATTTAGATGAAATTAGATAGTGTTATTTTATTTTATTGTTTAAATTAGATCATCTTAATTAAATTTCTACATAAGTACTTGTGAAGATAAAAGTTATATTGCAATTTTATATTCAAGTTAGTTTACAAATAAAACAGGGACAATCACAAGTGTAACTTGCACACTGAGAGTTCCGTACAAAGTTCATCATCAGCATCGATTTCTTCAAATTTTGGCCCGTTTTTTTGAGGATGTACCTTCTTAAACGGCACTTGATATTACGGTTCTTAAGATACTCTCTTATTTTTGCTGTGAGCCCTTTATATCGCCAATATTATTTCATTACTTGTTTATAACAATATTTCGTTTAACAGATAATTAAAACGCCTTGGCGAGCAATCTTCACATCAAAACCATTATGGGGTGCCATGACCGCACATATCGGATCCAACATCATATCTATATTATTTTTGAACCAAACTGGTACTTATCTTCATTTTACGCAAAACATTGATGTTCGAAACGTGAGTATTTGTGACGTAATCATTTCAATCAAAGCATTTATGCACTCGGCTTGGTCGCTTTGTTTTGAAAACATTTATGATAATTTCATGAAGATCAGTTAAGTAGATAAGGAGTTAAATAATAGAGTAAGTAAATAATAAATAAACTCCAAGAGTAATTAAAAAAAGATTGTACAGTGACAGTGTCTCTTAAAACTATTGACTTCTTACGTCCTATTTGATCTATTTTTGCTGAGATATTGATGAGTTGGTGACAAATTGCCGTTATATAGATGAGGTAGTAAAAAGGAATAAAAAGCAAAAATAATAGCAAATAGTAATTTGTAGTGGATACCTCAGTCAATATTTTTCTTAATTTCTTAATTATGTTGGTGCGTATTAGATTAATATCCATCCGTGATGGATGAAGAATACGGTGTGTCACCACCTCTATTCATCCTGTAGGTGTAGTAAAAGCCGACTAAGGGAGCAAACTACTCAGGACAACAGCACTGCAAAGAGAAGGAAAACTTGTCACAAATCCTATATCAACCCGTCTCGGTGGTATAGTTGGGCCAAAACCTTCTTTCTTAAGAGAGGTCTATTGGTATTGGTATTGGTTGTGGGCTTCGGTTTCCGCATTTAGACTCAGAGTGGTCCTTTATGCGTCGAGGATTGGTTGAGTAGGTGAGCCAGCCAAGCTCCTTCCAGAAGCGCAGAAGCCTCCTGGGGCGTTCACAGGCTTCTAGGAGCGACTTTATATCAGGAATGATACTTGCCCGTTGTGTGGCCACTCCCTCGCATTCCAGGACTACGTAGACGGCCGTTTCTTCAGCTTCCAGACATCCCCTGCACAGGGGACTGTCCGTCGCATTGATTATGAATAGTTGTCGGTTCAGGGCTAGATGTCCTGTAATAGTTCCGACAACCATTCTGATTTCCGGTCTGCTAAGACTGATCAGTCTGCAGGTGAGTCGTGGTGTGACTTGATTCAGCACCAGTTTGGACTGTCTGCAGCCGGGTGAGTTTTTCCACCTCCGGTTGTGTGCTTCACAGGTCCGTTGCCTGACCCAGCATCGTATTTGGTTAAATGATATGGGCAGGAGTGGTGTTGGGCCAGAGGTTGGGGTTGCCGAGCCCCTCCTTGCCAACTCATCTGCGGCATCGTTCCCGTGTGAGTTACTGTGCCCTTTAATCCATTGGAGGAGTACCCCATTGAATATAGCGAGCTGTTCCAGTGCTTGGTGGCATTCGAAGACAATACCAGAGGTCATTTTGTTGCCCTCCAATGCCTTTAAGACGGCCATGCTGTCGGATATTATTCGGATGTTGTAGTCCTTGATACCCCTTGACATGGCCATTGTGGCAGCGTAAGTTATTGCCACACATTCACATTGAAATATGGAACTGTGTTGGCCTAACGCTAGTGATATGTTTATATTTAGGTCTTGCGAGAAAACTCCGGCTCCAGTTCCTGACCTAGTCTTGGAACCGTCCGTGTAAATTCGGACTTCGTTAATGCCGGATTGATCTCAGTCATTTCCATGTATCTGGATGTAGTATCTTCTTGTGAAGATATGGTGTTTTGGGATTCTATCACATGGAGCTGCTATCAGTGGTTCGTATTCCACCAATTGATTCCATAATTTGGAGTGCGATCCCTCACTTTTGTGCCATAGACTCAGGTGTTTGAGTCTAATGATCGCCATGGCGGCCTCCTGCTGTATGAATAGATCCAGGGGTGGCAGACCAAGAGCCACCTCCAGTGCGGCAGTAGGCGTTGTGCGCATACAGCCAGTGACCGCGGAGCATGGGAGTCGCTGAAATTGCTGCAGTTTGTTTATGACGGTGCTTAGCTCTGTTCTCTGCCACCAGACAACAGCACCGTAAGTGATTATTGGTCTTATGACTGTCCTGTATAGCCATAAAGTAATTTTGGGTGATAGTCCCCAGCTTTTGCCGAGTAGCCGCTTGCATTGGCAGAAAATAATGCAGGCTTTATTCAGTTTTTCATCGAAGTGCTTATTCCACAAGAGTTTACTGTCCAGTATTACTCATAGGTATTTGACCTCTTTGGTAAGAGTAAGTTGTGTTCCAAATAGCTTGGGAAGTCTAAGATTTCCTAGGCTGCGTTTGTTTGTGAACATGATCATCTCTGTTTTGGATGGGTTCACTGTCAGGTTGTGTGCTACGCACCATTGTTCCACGATCTTCAGTGCAAGTCTCATTTGATCGCATGTAATGCTCTCAAAAGGACGCTGATGAGAATAGTAAGATCATCTGCATAGCCTATTGTGAGGAATCTTTGGTCATTAAGTTGTGCGATGAGCTCATCCACAACAATGTTCCATAGAAGGGGGGAGAGTACACCGCCCTGGGGGCAGCCTCTAGCCACCACTCCTCTAGTCACTTCGCTCACAGTGAATTGTATAGCTCTATATCTTAGCATGCTGTCGATCCACCCTGAGATTGTGGAATCAACACCATGCCTAGACAGAGCTTGGCTAATGCTGGTGAAGTTGGTCTTGTCAAAGGCTCCCTCGATATCGATAAAGGTGGCCAGTGTTGATCTTTTGTGAGAGAAAGAGAGGTCTAGTTCAGTGACGGAGTTTTGGCGCTTGATAAGGCATTTGATGATGATTGATGATATTACTATCTTCTATTTTACCACATTTTGTGAAAATTGCTATGATTTTTGATTCCAGAGTGGTATCTTGTCATCTTTACCTTACGTAGCTGGCTTCTTCACCATGCTTCTATTTGGATGGCTATCGGACTACAGCACAAACAATAAAATCGTTAGTAAAAACAATGCCCGAAGAATTTCTAATTCAACGGGTAAGTCTATTAAGTACAATAAATAAATTTTACTCTTCTCTGTGAAAATATTAAAACCACCTCATTATATTAAGCCTTATTTATACGTACTGTTTATACGCGGAGGAGTCAAGCTTCGGCAGTGATACCGCGGCCTCATAGAATGATCATGATTACTAAACGACTTGAAGAAGGAAACAATCAATGACTATGAACAGATAATCCAATGATGATGATGACACCGGTCTTAAGTAATTCTTTTCACATTGGGAAAGGGACAAGAAGATTATAAAAATCTTGATGAAGTCTTAAAAATAAATTTATTGCCACAAAACTGTCGTTCCTAGTCAATTACTTTCTCTTTTCTAAAAGTGTCTTAACCAAAGTACTGATAATACAGACACTTTCAAATCAAACTTTAATAATGTCGACATTTAAAGGGAATATAAATTTGTTGATGCGTGGTGATGTACTAAGAATACAGATTGTCACCACCCCTACTCAGCCCGAGGGTATCGTAAAAGCCGACTAAAGGAGCAAACCACCCAAGATCACAGCACTGTAAAGAGAAGGAAAAATTGAAACAAATCTTATACCAATCCGTTTGGCCAGCGTGATATGGTGGGCCAAAACCTCTTTAAAAAAAAGTAGAGGCTTATGTCCACCAGTGAACTGTTAATGGTTGTTGATGTGATGATGATGTGATAGATTATATTAACATAACATTAGTTAAACAACCTGATTTCGTTAGTTGGAAGTTATTGTCAGCCAGCCGTTGTGTGGTACCATGAACGTATTCTCCAAAGTCATTATTATTATTTTTTAGCTAATATTGCTATGGCTACCTGCTTAATAATGACTTCTTACACGAGCAATAGAATTGTCGTGGTTATATGCCTAGTCGTAGGTATTTCCTGCAATATGGGCGTAAATTCAGGATGGATGGTAATTATTTTTTCTTCTTATCCAATCACTCTCATAACCAGCTACGCGTTATAATTGGCAACGGAACATGGCAATTAATATTGCATTCAATAGTAAATAAAGCGTACTTGAAATACATTATTACTGCTTCAATAATGCGGCTACCAAAACTGCCACGAGAACTCACGAATACTCTATTGAATAATAATGGCTTTCTAATCGTTTCTATATCTTCCTCTTCTTTCTTTTTCGATTTCTATCCAGGATAAATAATTGTGTGATTATCACGATCATTCGGTTCTGTATCGGAATGTGATTTATCTATAAGATATATTACTATGTACATAGTTATTAACACTGAAGGGACACATTTATAAAACTATCATCAGACCTGCCGTCGTATATGGTTCTGAAAGTTGGCCCATTAAGAGAACGGATGAGAGACGCCTGAACGTAGCCGAAATGCGAATGCTGAGATGGATGTGTAGTGAGACTCGGATGGAGAAGGTTAAGCATGAGTATATACGAGGGAGTCTGAAAGTATAAAAGACTGGATGAAAAGTTAAGAAGTAATAGGTTATCTTGGTATGGACATGTCATGCGAAGGGATGAGAGAAATGTGAAAGAAAGTTTAAAGTATGGGAGTTTAAGGGTACAAGAGAAGAGGAAGACCAAAGAAAAGGTGGATGCACTGTGTGAGTGAGGATATGGCTAGGAAGGGAGTAAACAGTGAGATGACGCATGATGAAAGAATCACACTTGCTGCGCCGACCCCAAATAAAATTGGGATAAGGGTAGGCAGATGCTGATATACTATTATGTATAAAAAGGACAAAGTTTAACACGATCTTTTCAATTCGAGATTTAGAGAAATAGAACTAAGTATAGAAAATATTTGCACCATTTACACCATTTACATCCAAGCATAAAAAAACTAAAGCCCGTCCGTGTGGTGACGGATTAAGAATACGGAATGTCAACACCCCTATTCATCCCGTGGGTGTCGTAAGTACCGACTAAGGGAACAAACTGCACAGGCCAACAGCACTGCAAAAAGAAGGAAAACTTGAAACAAACCCTATTCCAACCCGTGTGGCCAGCGTGGTTTAGTAGGCCAAAACCTCCTTTCTAAGGAGAGGCCTATGTCCAGCAGTGGACTATTATAGGCTGTTGATGATGATGATGATGATAAAAAAACTGGTAGCGTTCCCAAAAGACTGGCAACATTGCCACGTTTAATGCCAATGCTAATTCTCTGTGCTAGAAAAAGGCCGGGCCTTCTGATCACGAGAAGTGTCGATCAGTTGTTTAGCTAGTTGTTTATACATAGCACGAGCACTCAAAAATACACTGTTTCAAAAATGACTTTCTTCTAAAGTTTAGTATTTTCGCCGTTCTTATGTATTGAAAAATATTTAAGTATGTTCATTAGCAGTTTGGTTACCATAGTACAGGCGCTGCCTAGTTTGGGATCAGTCTGCCGTGTGTGAGAATGTTTTGAGTTATTATATTATTTCTTTCATGGTAAGCTTACATTAGTGACTCAGGAGTGATTGATATTCCATTAGGATCAGTGTGGCAAGTCATGCCTCGATTATGTGATCATAGTTTGATGATGTTACACAATAAATTTACAATATAAGGAAAGTCAGGCAGATTACGTCTAACACCTATTAAACCGCATCGACCCAGCCCGAACTTTATATTTTTCAATACTAATGCTGTCATGCAGGTTTAATCTGAATTTAGATCACTGACCCAAAGTGGTATACGATTTCGACCCCCAAGGGGCTACAACGACCTACAAAATTTCATTTAATTCAAGTCTATTTTATTATTATTACAATCTAATGTTATCTTTATGAGCAAATGTTACATTTAACTAAAGGAGTCGGGGGACATTTAATTGTAAAAATGAGAAGGTACTATTGCAGTGCTTTATTAAATGTTTGCCTTATATTGTATAAAAAGGCGAGGCTGAGTATAAAAGCTGAGGCTTGTAATAAAACCCTTCTTCTTTAAGGATTCTTCTTCTATTAATTTTCTTTTCTTATAATCTTCTTACCCATTTCCTAAACACATTTAGGGTCGGTGTAGTGAGTTTTCTTTGTTCCATTACCTCTAGCGCTCGACATCATCTTTGACGCAGTCCTTCATTTCATCGCAAAATGGTTTTTGGCTTTTTCCTTTTATGGTCAGGCAACCAAAAAAAGTAGTCTACTTAAGTAGGCTACTTATTGCCAATCCTCGTTGGGAATTCTCTTTTATATTATATTATGTCTTTTTTTCATTGCAGATTAATTACATTGATTTAGCTCCGGATTTCAGCGGGACTCTCACAGCAATTGGAAACACTCTGGCCAACATTTTTAATCTCATAACACCTGCTATCATCTCATACATAGTTACTGATATGGTTTGTATAAATCTTAACATAAAACAAATGACAGCCAATCCTGAACGAGCTCATTACTCGTCAATCTTCAATATCTTTTTCATTGCTCTGCCTTTTCCAAGTTGCCCCTATTACCAAACAATCCCAAACTAAGCAGAGCCTGTACTTTGGTAACCAGATTGCTGATAAATATGCTTAGACATTTCTAAATACATACATATTGTAGATAAATTATACCCAGACACAGATCAAAGGATCGTGCTCATCACACAATTATTTGTCCTGAATGGGAATTGAACCAATGATCTCACGCTAAGCTCTCACTAACCACTAGACCAACAGGTCTAGTGGTTAGTGACCCTGACTGACAGACTGTCAACTACCAATTGTCGGACCTGTTGGCCCGTCAAACGGTAGTTGACATTATATGTTTTTTAACCTTAGTTATTTCAATTGAGTTTTATAAGAGTTAGGAAATACTTTGCACTGTCAGGTATCTTCACTTCTCTTCAGATTTCGATCCGACACGTTCACATGTTTTTTACATATCTTTTTAATCAAACTGCCGAAAATAGCTCTTGGCCAAAATTTCCGGCACGTTCTGTAACATAAACCAAAATAGTCAAATATGATTCGTTTCTCGAATTTCCCACTGAGTTATGTCCCAGAAAAAAACCCGATGTCCCAGTTTGTATGCCCCGAATGTCCTAATTTTTTTTTTTTTGTTATTTTCGCATGGTTTATGGATGGAGTGGTCTAACGAGTTCATAAATAATTAATATTGTCATCTCCTTCTACTAGTAGTAATCTCTCAAAATCTCTCACATTAAAAACACGTGTGAAAGATATGCTATGCCTATCAAGAATATGAATTTTACTTCGTTATATATCGAAATGAAAACAAGAAGTAAAGAAACAAACATACACAACGGTTATACTGGTGTTAAATATATGTATTATTTTGTATAATTTTATAATTCTTTCCAGACAAATATTACGCAGTGGCGTCTATTGTTCTTCATTACATCAGGGGTGGCCTTAATTGCAAACACTGTCTTTGTTATACTAGTATCTACAGATGTTCAGCCATGGAATTACGGTGAACAAAAAGGTAATCAAAATAAACGAACAGTTCATCTAGTGGACTACATGTGAACTACGTAGTAAATAATAATCTTGCATTGCGTAAACAGAATGTATTATTTTGTAGAATCTCGAATAGCTCTCGATGACGTTAAGGCAATCCTTCCTTCCTTTCTATCCGCCTAAGTAACGTTTGCTGGTATATTACAGGGTAACAGGGTTTTATCTTCACTAGTCTGTACAATATAAAATCTATACACTCGTTTCTGTCGAGCAACTATGGCTAGCCACAGAAGTGATAAATAATTATCTAACACACATATCAAATTGGGGAGAATAAAAGATTAGTAAGATTTTATTCATTGGCAGTTGTAGACCTATCGTCAAAATCGGATTGCCGAGGCTGCCTAGTTTTCTTTATGGCATCGTTACACCGTTTAGTGGCAGATTAAAATCCCTGAAATCGGTGTATAAACACCTATATCTTTTTCATTATATTATCCACTTTGCGACTGATGTCTTACCATCAGTCGCAAAGTGGATAATAGAATCCTTGAGAAACTTGCTTGACTCCATCCCGTTTAGCATTAAAACTATACTATACAAACGGGCTTACGATATGTAAGTTGAAATTTTTAATAGTCAGGTGTCATTCTATTGTTGACAGAAATTAATTTATCTTACCTCGTTCAATTTTTGGTGGATTAAATGAGGTGTAGGTTGAAATTAGTGCTAATTGTGTTGTTCCAAAAACCTCTAAAAATTTTTTTGTCCAGTCAAATACTACGTTTTTAAAATAGGAAACGTTGTTTGACAGGACTAAACTACTTTTTGTGATTTTTAGTTTAGTTTAGAGATTTTTCGAAAAACAGAATTAGCACCATTACTTACTTTGTAATAAGCAAAAAGACTTTTTTTAATAAATTACACTAAAGCAGTGCAATTTTTGGGATATTTGTCAAATATTTAAAATTTAATATTTATTTACAGAATCGTGCGATGAAGTAAAAAAAGAAAATATTAAAGAAACACATACCATCGTGACTACATTATGATGTAGTGTCCTAAATGCAATTGTTAATAACTTTAGCCACAGTTTGTCAAATAAACTTTAAAATAAAAATTAAATATGCACATTATTTGTTATTCTTTAAGACATTGTAATGTAGAATATCATTTTAAATAAATGATTTTGTTACGTGCAATATAAAAAGTTGCGTTTTTTAACGTACGAGTAGTTTTGTTATTACAAAGTCGGTATGTTAAGTTTTACGATATTTTTGACTTAAATTTCGTACGTTTATGATCTAAAAAGATAAAAAAACAGTACCGTAGTACAGACAAAACAATTTTAACAAACCAAGAAACTTTCGATGATCAGTTGTTACTTATATCTACAAATAAGTCCTTTCAAACTTCTTAGTATTATTGTCACTCAATAAGGAGTCATTATCACGTCAACAACAATAACAATGTCTTGCAAACAACACGTCACTAAAGTAATAATAATAAATATTCACGCGGTTGTCAAATCGGACTAAAATCTTTTAAGATTATAGCCCTTTATGTAATTACTGTTTTTTCGGACAATTGTACTTACACATTAACTATAATAGCTGCGGTAGTGTAATGGTTAAGACGTCGGAATTGCGATCAAGTGATTCCAGATTCGAACCCTATCAAGCGCACTGACACCATCATCAACTCAGTCCTAACGTCGTCACTTCTTGCCAACCACTGAAGCGATAAAATTACAAGATTGCTTCAACAGCAGTCCAATGTCTACAATGACCTCATAGACGAATGGTAACAACGCTGGGACGAATCATCTAAGGGGCGCCACTTCTTTCCATCTGTTCGTGAACGGTTGTCAAGAACATGGCTTGAGGTGGATCACTGTGTCGCTCAATTTCTTACAGGACATAGTAACTGTAAGAGCAAGCTGTATTCATTTAAATTAGTCGAGTCACCATTGTGCCAATGCCCAACACCTAACTCTAACCGTGAACAGTCTGTGCATCATATCCTCTGGGAATGTAGTCTTTGGTATGATGAACGTAATATAATGCTGAAAAGCTTGCAGGTGATATCTGGGGCTGTATACTATGGGGATCTTGTGTCAACTAGGGTAAATTTCCGTGCGTTTAACCAATTCTGCCATGCTTATTATAGAAATCAAATATAGCTCACTTAGGACCCATACTATTTTGTGGTCGTGGTACTGTTTTTAATGTCAAATTGTGTGTGCTGTTTAAAACAGTGTATGCCTATTTTACTTCATTTTGCCTCCCGCTTTGCTAAGGAGGGAAGTGGATTTACTGTTTTTCCAACTCCTCCAACTTTCTTCTGATTAATTTCGTAGCCTGTTCTAAGACAGATTAATTTTTTCCTGGGACAAAAAATCATAATTTGTCATCCTATTCCTGCCTCTTTTCTAAAGTATTTAGCTAGTTTCTTTTATAACCGGTTGCCAATCCAGGTTTAATGGGATAAGGAAAACGGTTGCGGTCTGGATGTCTTAATAACAGCCTGCTGTTCCCGTATGCCGTAAAGTAGCACACTGTGTAGTTTTAGTCGGTTCGATTCGGACACACTGCCACACTGCAAGCCCGGTGGGGTGACGGCCCGAAGGGGATTACACGTTTTAAAAAAAAAGGGTAAGAAAATCGGATAGGATAAGGGAAACAGGGAATAGAAAATTACTATAGAATTTGGAAACAGCAGCACTGGGAATGGATGCGGCACGGCTCAAAAATGATCGTCGTAAAAAAAAACATAATTATTATTATCTGTGATTGGAAACGTAGTGACTTGCGAAATCAAAAATATTATTATATTTAGTTTACAAGAGTCTGTAAACATAAGCCAAGATAGCATTTCAGTAGCGTCATTTTAATTAATCTGCCAACAAGTTGATCACACAGAGACGTGTGAACAAACCAACATACGTGTTGGTTTTATTTTATCAGTATTGTTATTACAATACTAGCATTTGCCCGCGGCTTCGCCTGGCCCTGTGTATCGGTTATCGCGGTAAAAAGTAGCATATGATGATGTAGCTTTCCATTGATGATATAATTTTTATAATCAGTTGAGTGGTTTAGGGGTGGAAGCGTAACAAACCAACTCAATTTCAAATATTTATATGTAACTGCGTAGTAATGTATAAATCTTTGCACAAACTTGTCACTCAACGTATTTTGACAGTTCCCAAATAGTGCTAAAGAAATTTCCATAAATATCATATCTACATACAAATATAATTCTATTTTTATAAGGCTAATTTAAAAAACACCAAATGTGCAATAGACCAGTGCAAATAAATCTTTGGCAAAAGATAATAATAACATGAAGACTATTGGAATTTTCTTTATCATAACACCTACGTCTTTATTCCGGAAGGGGTTTCCCAAGGTGTATTTAATTTTAAAAAAACACAGTTTGCCAAATATTATGTAATTCCTACTTACGCAACAAGTGGCAAGCCTATTACCGTATAACTCGCATATATATACCTAAATGAATTGCTTGTTAAAAATAAACTATTCAAAATTATTTTATTGTAGTTATAAGCCTAATACAATCAACACTACATTACATTCATGTCTAATAGGCCGCTTACACGCATGGCGAGCCTCGACAAGTGTATACGAACACATGCTTGTAAACGGGGTGTTTGGCTCGGCTCGCGTATGCTCTTGCTTGTATGTTAGCGCTTGCTTGTTCCCTACTGCTCAATATTATATTAAAAACATTGTAGTTGAGCAGTCGGGAAGCGACATTAAGTCTCAATGCTCTACTGATTGAGCAGTTTAGTTGAGCAGAAGGGCTAGAGAATATTTTTTTTTGTTTAATGCCGTAGTTTATATTTTGAATAAAAATATGCAAGCGTGTAAATGGCATCCAAGCGTTTGTAAAGACTTGGAACTTATGGACGTTTGCCAAGGCTTGGCACGTATGTTAGTTTACAGTTGGCATAAAGCTAAGGTGTATCAACTAAATTTGCTTCCATTTAATACATGATAGGCTATTTTTAGCAATATATCCGTACCTTCTGAACTAGTCGAGAATGTGACTCAGAAGGTTCATTCGTGCTAATAAAATCCTAAATTACAAAGTGTGAAAATATGTAGAGATAGTATGATAGTTTGATTCACATGTTAGGATGTCATAAAATCTAAGTGAGCACTTTTATTCACAGTGATTTCTTGGTATAGAATATTTTCTTATACAAGCAAACTACTCCAAAAATGCTTCTTTTCTATAGTTCAATAATCTTGTAAATATTTCTCTTGAAATTTCCTTTTTAGTGTTATACTAATCCATAAAAGAAATGTTTTGTTTGTTTTAGCGGCGATCATCATGACTTATCTGAGTTTTCAAGGGTATAACGTAAGGTAAGTATCGGGTACCTTATATAGTTTTTAATCGACTTCAAAAAAGGTATTTTTTCGTTTGTGGTCACATAATTCAGCCCTTCACTAATCGATTGGGATTTCTTTTACTTGAAGACAGAACAAATGAAACTAACTGAACAGTTTATTACAAATCAACATGATATATCCGTGTTTAAGTTAGTGATCTTTTTTTTAAGTTATTTGTGTATATCTTATTTATTCAGAAAGAAAGAATAACCAAAGAATAAATCCTTTTTTAATGAAATGCCAGATTTATCTGATCGATAGTATAGCTTATATTCTCACACGGGAACGAAGCTGCAGATAAGTCAGCAAGGAGGGGCTTAGCAACCCCGGCTACCGTTCTGCCACTGCCTTTCAACCAACTTTGATCATAAGCCAGACAACGGACTCGTGAAGCACACAACTGGAGGTGGAAAAACTCACCCGTCTGCAGACAGTCCAAACTGGTGCTGACTGAAGTCACACCACGACTCACTTGCAGACTGATCAGTCTTAGCAGACTAGACATTTTAATAGTTGTAGGAACATGATATCTAGCCCTGACCCGACAACTATTCACCATTAATGCGACGGACAGTCCTCTGTGCAGAGGATGTCTGAAAGCAGAAGAAACGGCCGCCCACGTAATCCTGGAATGCGAGGGAGTGGCCACGAAACGGGCAAGATACAAAATCATACCAAGATACAAAATCGTTCCTAGAAGCCCTAAAAGTCCGTGAACGCGCTTTTGCGCTTCAGGAAGAAACTTGGTTAGCTCACCTAGCCAACCTTCCCTCGACGCATAAAGGACCACTTGAGTTTTTCTTGAGTCTAAATGCGGAAACCGGAGCCAACAACCAATACCAATTACCTTATATTCTGGTATTCATAGTGTATAAATACATTGTAATTATATTGTATGTGTACATTTATAAATTCATGTATATTTATTTGTGTTTATTTTTAGAAGATTTCTACACCATCCAAAGAGACCGTTAGAGAATGCCCTGGACCTTAAGTCCGCCGATATACAAAAGTGCACAAAGTCTTAAATAAAATAAATACATGAGCGCAAGTGAAATTGTAGACAACAGCTTGTTTAGTATAAAGTAGAGACTGTATGTTTCCCTTTGATTTATTATATTCAAGAAATTCTTTAATGATAATAGTTATACAAATATGATATAAGCTAGCCTTTGATAATTATGATAATGGAAGCCTATTTGTATCCAGTAAACAGTACACTTAGTTATAGGTACACTCTCCAATTGTTATGGCGCATCGGAGTTCTAGATACATTTTTCAAAATCAATTTATTCTTTATTTATAGAAATGTAAATGCTTTCTTTTATTTCACCAAAGTTTTGATCGAATTGCACTAATACAAAACAGGAATAAACTTTTTTATGTGGTATTTCTTATTTGAATTTATATAAAAATGGGTGATGAGAAAAACTTATCGCAGTATGAATATAATAAAGTGCCCGACACGGAAAAGTTACCTGGTAAGACATTTTATACAAATATCTACTATTTATGCAAATTTAAACCATTTTTTTTTGGTATTCGGGAATTTTTCAGCTGAACCAATCGCGATCTTTAATTTTTCAAAGCATCTCAAGAAGCAATGAATTTCAAAAACCGCTACCGAGATGGTTTTTGGTTTGTATTGGCCACTGCCCTTTATTTTTCTTCCGATCAAAGATTAACATAATAACTAGCAGTAATACGACTCACATTAATGAACCTATAGCCATTATAATTCTGCACTGGTAATGGGTGTCACATTTGAATATTCCCTTGTTATAACCAACAAAGCTGTACAGGTTTTTAGTTAATCTTCTCATAATGCCCTATGAGAATATATCAAACTTCGTTGTTCTTAGCGTTTTAATTCCCTGATTTTATTATACAATTAGGGCTTGTAGATTAATCCGACTTTTATAATTCCGATATTGAATATCGGATATCGGAATGTTACACCCAATCATATTAACAACGTTATTTCTTACTAGCTTTTAGCTTCAGCTCCGCCCGCATGTAGGTCAGTTATCGCAGTAAAAAGTACCCTATGTCCTTCCTCAAGAATTAAGCTATCTCCATAATAAATTTCATCTAAATCGATATTGCTGTTATTGATTCCCCATACAAACTCCAACTTCATTTTTAAACCCCATAAAGGGTAATTTCTGGGATAAAAATTAACCTTTCCCGAAACTCAAACTATTTGTATACCGAATTTCATTTAAATTGGTTTAGCGGTTTAAGCGTGAAGTGGTAACAGACGCACTTTTACATTTATAATATAATATATATTAATATTATAATAGTATGGACCAGTTTTTAGATTTTATAGTAGTTAGTAGTTATAGATAGATAGTAGTTTATAGTAGTTATAGATTCACAATTAAGACATATGTCAAACTATTAAAAAAAATTGGTTTCAGAAAAAGTAGATAGTCCACCCAAATTCGGATACGGCGTTAGACATATTCAGCTAGTCATTTTTTTTCTATGTCTTACTGTATGTATAATTGGAAGAGGACACTTGGGAGTGACGATCGTTGCTATGACACATAACCCTGAACTTAGCATAACCACAGATAATACCTCTATATATTTAAAAAAAAATAACGACACAAATCTTACAAATCACTCGAATACTGGTGAAACAGAAAAGGCATTCGAAGATTTCAAAACATCAAACGGAAGCCATGAAATTGCAATGAGCAATAGTAATCCAGAGCATAAAGTAAGAACAAGAAATTTTATATTTATTTAATTTAGAGCAAGAATGATCATAGCTCGAAGCTCTCAATATTTTTAAACTTCACGTGTACTCATTAAACTTTTTTTTGGAAACAACGTTTGTCTTTGAATTTAAATTAAAGAAAAAGTAATCATTTAATCGATTTTTTAAAGGAAACTTTTTTAAATTGCTAAAACGATAACTATTGTTACTGTATTAAATAAATTATTAAAATAATAATTACAGAAACGAAACGATAATCTCAATACAAATTTAAACCTTTTTAGACATGGATCTGGCCGAAATCAATTCAAGAAATGGTATTGAACTCTTTCTTTCTTGGGTATATGATCATGATGTTCCCAATGGGTATGGTATGCCAGCGCTATGGAGGTAAACTTCCTCTTCAGATTGGTCTCTTCGTCACCGGAATCGCTTCTATTATTACGCCTTGGTTAGCTATATGGGTAAGACAATAATTGTTACTCTTGAAATAAACTTAAGCGTAGCGGACTTAGGACTTGTAATGAAGCGCTCAAAGTTTCAAGCTTTACAAAGTGCACTTCTGATGTGAATTCTCTCCTACACTTAGCAGGAGAGGTTAACAAGAATATCAGTAACGTTACTATTATACTTGTTTTAAAAACAAGGAGGTAATCATCGAAATCTAAAATGCAACTAACAACTAACTAACTAAATATTGAGTTTAGTTCTAGCATAAATATATACATATTCCAAACAGCAGCTATACACACAACAAAATAAGCAGACAAACAACGATTCAGAAAAATAAATAATATTCACCCTGTAACAATGTATATGTGTCGGCTAAATCATAAAATTGATCACTTCGTGATATAGTCGTATAATATTAAAAATTGATATTTCACGATCGATAAATTTAACCCTAACAAAAGAAAATTTTTATGCTATGCAGTAATCAAATCTAGATTTGTCATTTCAGGGAGATTGGAAAGCTGTATGTGGCTGTCGTATTGTGCAGGGTTTGGCTCAAGCTGGCACGTATCCTAGTATTCAAAGTCTACTTGCCAAATGGGTACCAGAAGATGAGCGTGCTAGCCTTGGATCTTGTGTTCATACAGGTAGTATTCAACTCTGATTGACTATATCATACCAATGAGAATCTAACAAGACATCGATATGTAAATAGGTAAAGATAAAACTGATTTGTAAGTGTGAACAGATTTGTGATCTGTAAGTGATTCTGGGTTCTTAGTTGTTTCCCGATGTGAGTTCATTTTTGGCAACATTGAATTATACAAGATATTAATCAATCTCTTAAAATAAACTGAAAATAGCTAAATCTGTGATTATATCACGTGATTGCTTTGTTTTATACGTTTTATACTACAGTTTGCAACGATTAATAATAGTTTTGCAGAAAAAAAACGTTTTTTTCGTTTTAGCTCAGTTTTTCACCTTTAGTGAACCTTACTACCATGAATCCCAACCTCTGGGAGATCGCCACTGATAATTGTGCCAATCTAAAGCGCATCCATGATGCGATGATGAGCACAAAAACAGTAATCTCATGCATCAAAATCTGCCTCGGCTGTGCAGTGGTAGCGTATGCGACTGCTGTGATGAGGTTTGGGTTCGATTCCCGGACCAGACCAAATGTTTGCATAACCTGCAAATATTTGTTTCGGAGTTTGGGTGTTTTCTATGTATGTTATATGTATGTATTTACAAAAAAAGTATAAACGTATTCTATAAGTCAATCTAGCTTTCATAGTACAAGCTCTGAAATATTATTTCATACGTCCGAAATATTATTATTATACAATAACACAGACGTAAATATATTTTCGTTTTTTTTTATCTTACTAACATTTTCGGTTTTTCGCTTCAACAGGACTTACTTTAGGCACCGTAATAGCCTTTCAACTAGCAGGTTTTCTAGGGGCTAGTAAGTGGGGTTGGCCATCTACATACTACGTAGTCGGAGTGATCTGCATGTTATGCTTCATTGTACTTACCGTATTTGGAGCAGCCAATCCACTAGAACATAAGTCTATTAGTCAAGAAGAAAAGAATTACATTATGAGAGCAGCTAATAAAGGCAACGGCAAGGTAGATATTGTTGATTTTTTTATGACATAATGTGCCTTGACTGCTTTTGATTTTTTGTGATAGATATATATTGTCTGGAATAACATATGGACAAAATTTAATGACATAAACGACTTTAACCACTGGTCTATAAAGACCAATTTTTTCACAGTGAATTTCACTATGACTGAGGTATTGATGATAATGAAACCTGATTGAAAATTCATGTATTATTGCAATATAATTTCTTTATAAATAGTTATAAGAGTTTAATTTATAATAGATCATAGAGAACATAATAATTCTCTTCGTTCCTATTCCATTTTGATTCTATATACCATAGTATACTAATCGTTTGACTTACAGAAACTTGCAACACCTTGGCGAGCAATTTTCACATCAAAACCCTTGTGGGGTACAATAATTACACACGTCGGCACAAGCCTGACCTTCATATTTTTCTTTAACCAAGTGCCTACATATATTCATTATATCCTCGACATTGATGTTAGAAATGTAAGTAATATTTATGACGATACATAAGTACATAAACTGCAACCATTCGGTCTGATTTTGTTTTCTTTTTATCATTTTATGAGCTTTAGAAGTTACCCATTATATATAATTAGATATTATTATTAGATACCGGGTGAGTGTAATCAACTAATTAATAATTAAATTTCATATAATAACCAAATATTTTAATATCCTTTTCCCTTTTGATTACTGCTCGAGATTCTTTATTTTTATCAACTATTGAACTAGCTAGCTGACGATTCGGACACAAATATATTCGAGCACTGGTCCGAATTGATAACTTTCACTAGAAGTGTTACCAATACAGAAGAATAGATTAATAATATTATATTGCCTTCAATAAAATTTGGAATACACTCCTTGCCTACTTTTGACGAAATTTAACTATATTTCTTTTTTCAATTTATTTTTGTAACAGATTAAGAATACGTATTGTGACCACCCTTGTTCATCCCGTGGGTGTCGTAAGAGACGACTAACGGAGCACCCTACGGCCTATTTTCAGAAGTGAACTATTAGAGATTAATGATCATGATGATTCTTACTTACTATATTTTCTAAACGCGTTATATTTCTACAAATAGCTGAGTGTAATTTCAGAGTGGCATGTTGTCATCATTGCCATACGTCGCGAGCATCTTCACAAGCCTGTTCTTTGGTTGGCTAGCTGATTACAGTGCCAATAATAATATTATTAGTAAAAACAATACGAGAAGAATATCCGATTCAGTTGGTAAGTTTTATAAACAAGCAGTTACAAATAAAGTACTCAACTTTTACATGTCAATGAACTGAAGTTAGTAATAAGATCAATACACTGATGATACATCATATATACCCGTATATATTATATATTGACAATTATTCTCTTTGCCCCATTTTATTCACTGTATTGCAAAACTAGAATGTTTCCAACCGAATCAAATGGACATTTGTAGTGTATATTTTATGACCTTTCCCAAAAATCTAACTTATTTCAATATGTAAATATACTGATATAAAAATAAAAACAATATAGGTACTCGTATGATCTGCAAGACTGGTATCAAATCTTCGGATACAGAACGGACTGTTTTTTTTTAAATTCGTAATCGTTTTCCATTTTTTATTTTTACAAATACCATACCAGGACTTGTTACGAATCTTGAAATAAGTTTACAATGGAAATGTGTCGTCAATAGTGTTGCATTGAAATTTGTGTGGGTTTTCCGTACCGTCAACCATTCGTCGCCAAAACTATTACCTAAACCTTTTGGCATTTCAATTCTGACCTCTACCTTGACCTGAAATAAAAACTTTTTGTAACACCTAACAATTTTTGAAAACACAATAGAACCCCTTATAATAACGCAGACGATAAGTTCTTGCCAGTGCCTTCAATAGGCACAAAATAAAACTTATAATATAAAAAAAACTTTGTTTTGCAGCAAGTTTCGGTATGGCTATTTGTCTGATCTTGACGTCATATACAAGCAATTCTGTCATCGCGGTGTCATGCCTTGTAGTGGCTATGGCCATTAACATGGGCCATAACACTGGATGGATGGTAAGCTTTCAACTTTTATATGTACTTACACCCGACATTATTATATACTTGATGATTCTTAAAATTTATGTTATATCATTTATAAATCACTTAATATAAGAGAAGCACTGAATACTTGTTTCTAACCGAAAAAAAAAGTTAGATATAATCAACTAAAATAAAACAATAAAATTACTTAATTAATGAAGTACAAAGAGAAGGAAAACTTGAAACAAACCGTATACCAAAGCCAAAACCTCATCTTCTAGGGCAGGGATTTTCTTTCTATTAATGAAGTTATCATAAATGAAGTGTTATTATTTAATAATTCTATCTTCCGTGTGTTGAATGATTAAGAATACGGAGTATCACCACCCTATTCATCCCGTGAGTGTCGTAAGAGCCGACTAAGGGAATAAACTGTGCAGGACAACATTCCTGCAACGAGAAGGAGAACATTCCAACCCTTCTGGCCAGCGTGATTACAGTAGCCCAAAACCTCTTTTCTAAGGGAAGACCTATGTCTTGTTATATAGATAATAATAATAAAAATTAACTATAATATAATAATAATTAACTAAGATATTTTTTTAAACTCATAGAAGCTGGATTCGCGATTATGGCGAATAAATAGGGATTAATGTTTAAGATATAGATTTTTTTTAAATCATGATAGACGATAGTATCTTTAAGATATACACACGTAATAGGAAAATAAGTAGAAGTTAGACTATAATAATATAGCCAATATTAACGAGGATTAATCAGTAACAAAAGTCAATTTTTTTCTTTATATTATCAAATCTGTTTCTCAAGCAAGAAGCAACAAGAAGAGGAAAAAACCCTTTTAAAAAAAAAGTTGAACCGACTTCAAACAACACCGACAAAGAGCACTAAAAATTCAAAAATAATTACAAATCCAAGTAAAAAACTATAATAAGTACCCTCAATGTAACAGGTAACATTATAATACCAATAGTCCCTTCTAGTCTGTTTGAAGTCGGTGCCAAGCCAAATAGGTGCTTGATAGGCATGGTAGAATGTAGCGCGGCAGCTGCAACAGTCTTCATGCTGCGCAAAACATGTTGAACGAGCTAAAGTGGACGCACATCTCCAATTATATTATTATTTTGAATGCTTTAATAAGTAGTTGATAAGTTTGCGCACGTAATTGATCGGGTTGGTCTTTATTAATTAACAAAATCTTCGATGTTTCATTAGAATTATTTTGAATTCTTAATTTTTCATTGTGCTAATATAAAACTGACATAGACCAGTATTACTTATTGTGCATCGAGCTTGGCACCGACTTCAAACAGACTAGAAGGGACTATTGGTATTATAATGTTACCTGTTACATTGAGGGTACTTATAATAGTTTTTTACTTAGATTTGTAATTATTTTTTAATTTTTACCGTGCTCTTTGTCGGTGTTGTTTGAAGTCGGTTCAACTTTTTTTTAAAAGGGTTTATTTTACCATTTTTAGTGTAGGATATGTTTGTAATGAGTAGATAAGTACGATATTTAAAACACTTCGTTCCGTAATGTATAGTAACAAACTGTAGTTTGTTAGATTATATTAAATATTATATTAAACTACTGCTGGACATAGGCCTCTCCTTAGAAAGTTGACCCACACAAAATTTAAGAGTTTTTTCCAGAACTATTTTAATAAATTAAGTATAAAATTACTCACAAACGAAATGCGATGCCATCCATAGCAACAAAACGTCTATCCGAATTATTTTAACAAGATAGAATACAAAATTTCAACCTTTTCTTCTTAATACAACGAAAATTACTGTTGTGACATAAATACTGCAAGTTCTCTGCGCATCACATCGCGCAGTCTCTGACGGTTGCCATGGTTTGTTCGGCTAAAGAAATACTCGTAGCTAAAACACGTTCTCGGGGCTGTCAAATTCCCAATAATTGTGAGGGTTTCCCTCGATTTCTCTAGGATCCCATCATCAGATCCTGAATTGGTGGTAATGGTACCAATTCTTTAGCATACCCTGTCGATTACAAAAAGAATTTTGAAAATCGGTCCATAATTGACGGAGAAATCGCGGAACAAACATACATAAAAAAAAAATACAGACGAATTGAGAACCTCCTCTTTTGTGTTTTGGAAGTCGGTTAAAAAGTTGAACACCACTATGTTTCAAGTTTTTTTTAAACACCTTTTAATCAGTTACATTTATAAATTATATTTTACCAATAAATGTGCTTTGAAAATAATTTTCTCGTTTTAAACGTTTAAATCACATAATTACATTATGTGATTTAAACGTTGTAATTCCATTTCGAGAAAATTATACATCAACATTTATTTTTTAATTGCAGGTAAACTACATCGACTTAGCTCCAAATTTTGCCGGTACTCTTTTAGCAGTAGGCAACACAATAGCGAATATTTTTGGTGTTTTATCGCCGATCGTCGTCTCATATGTAGTCATTGATATGGTATGTATATATGATATTAAGTTTTATAAGGAGTTCGCGTAGTGGTTTGTGTAACAGACTGTTATTCACAAGGTCGCGGATTCGATCCCGCTCAAGTCAAACATTTCGTGCATGACCATTTAATGTTTGATTTGGTCTAGGTGTTTCTATGTATAATATTTATGTATTAGCAAAAGTCAAGTGTATCAGTATCATTTGTCTAGTACCCATAGTACAAGCTCTGCTTATTTTGGGACTAGATGGCGTTGTGTGAATGAGGTAGATATTTTATTATTATTATGACCTCTATTTAACAGAAGACTATGAATAATACTAGGATTCTCAGATACTGATCCTCTCCCCAAACTAACCCCACTAGTGTATCGATTTATTCGTCCGTATATTTCGTTTTATGTCAAATTTAGTAAAAAAGTTCTTCCACACTGACTTTTTTTGATGTAATTTATTTATCAATTTGTGTTGTTAATTTAATTAAAAGCAGTAATCAAAATATACGTATTATAAGTAGTAGTATAAGTATAATATCTGAAATTGATAATATTTGCAAAAAAATTTAGTAACTTCAATTACGAGTATATATTTATAGACTTATTTTTTGAGTATAAAGTGTTAAGAGTTAAAATATTAAATTGCCGATTTGTACTGAAAAATTGAAACTCGTTTTTTTCTAAGATGTAACATATTTATTTAATCAAAATATTTACCCTCATTATCTATACATTGCTGCCATCTAAACGGCAGTTCATTTATGCCTTTACAATAGAACTCTGGGGATCTAGATTCGACAAACTGTGTGAAAGCATTTTGTACTGCCTTCTGGAAAAAACAAATATCACGTAGGAAATTGACAAAATCACGAAAAAAATGTTAATCAGTTGGAGCGAGGTCTGGCGAGTACGAATGATGACGAATGGTTTCTAACTGCAGCTCCTGCAGAGATTTTCGAAGTATCCGTCTTTCACGTCTAAACAAAAAAAAAATTGAAAGTCGAAAATCAAATTTTGCACAATTTTTTAAAGAAGAACCTTAAAGGTATCACGTGTGAAAAAAAAGCACACGAAAATCTCACACCATGAAGGTTTTATGTCAATTCAAAGTATCTATTACTATACAAAGGCAATTTCATACTTTAACCCCACTTATTAACTAATATCAAAAAGAACTTGTAAATAAATTAACGCAAATCTATTCCCAAAGTAGCTTGGAGTTGGCTTTCAGTCCGCTACGACATGGCTGAACTTTGATTTTTTACGTGGACGACTGCCATGAGACCTTCAGAAACCAACTACTAGGCGATATAAAAGTTCTGTAGGCAGACTGTTGTCTCACTTTTTACAACTCCAACTATCCGTACCGATTACCACAAATGTCCATATGGCAATAGGGACCGACGGCTTAAAGTGTTTTCCAAGGCACAGAGGAGTCTCAATGCATTAAAAATGATTACCCAACCATAGACAGACCTAGCTAGGGTTACTTAAGTTTGTAATGTGCTAACTTACTCGCTAATAAGACTTAATTTGTATCTGTAAACTTTTGTTTCAGACAAATATTACACAATGGCGTATAATGTTTTTTATTGCTTCCGGAATATCCATTGTCACCAATGTTATCTTCGTTCTAATGATGTCTACAGACGTGCAGCCTTTCAACTATGCTTCTACAGATGGTAATAATCAAAATAATTATTTTAAAATATATTTATTTACGTAAACAGACAGGAGAAATTATGACTAAATTATTAGTAACATTATTTTTATATTCTTGATTAACACAAGGCAAATCAGTAAAAATAAATGTATACTATATACACGGCAGTCAGATATCAAACTAGGCAGAACCTGTATTAACTAAACTGCTGATAAACATACTTAAATATTTCTAAATACATACATGTTATAGATAAACTACTGGGAGGCAAGACAAAGACGATATGATAGTGCTAATCACACAACCATTTGTCGTGGGTGGGAATCGAGCCCACGACTGCTGGCTTAGCAGTCAGGGTCACTAACCACTAAACACGACCGTTAATTACAGGCCCTTATACTTTACAAATGTTTTGATAATATCTTGACTGACCTGTTAGACCTGTTATCAGAAGTCTTTAGTTCGATTCCCACCCAGGACAAATAATTGTATGATGAGTAATGATTTGTTCTATGACTGGGTGTAATTATATTTGTATATTGATAAATATGATTTTATTTATAAACAATCTGTCTGTGTGGTGACGGATTAAGAATACAGAGTGCCACCATTTATCCCTTCGTAAGAGCCGACTAAGGCAGAAGACTACGCAGGACAACAGCACTGCAAAAAGAGAAAGAAAGCTTGAAACAAAGCCTATACCAACTTGTCAGGCGTGCGTCAGCGTGGTATAGTAGGCCAAAACTTCCTTTCTAAGGAGAGGCCTGTGTCCAGTAGTGGACTATTAAATGATCAATAATCTCGTTACTATATCAAAAGGCTCTCCCTATTTTATTAAGCTATTATCATAATTAGCCACGCTAATTTTATGCGGGCACATACCCCATTAAGGGGTAACTAAGCGTAGTGGGTAACTCATTTACCCACTACGCTACGCTACACAGTGCGAGTATCTCGCCAACAAGTAGTGTAGAATTAGGTTGTTAAACTTTTATGACCAAAAATGTTAAATTTAAACTGTTATTACAGAGCTATTTATCATTAAACTATCAACCTCATTGTCAATGTCATGACAAGAACACTTCTCATTTTATAACAATAGACATCGTATTTACATAAACCTATCTTAGGTAAACTTAAACAAGTTTACACAAGAATATAATCTTATCACAGTTTACTATTAATTTTTATTATAACGACTTTATCATCGAGAGCACCAGTTATGTAATACTATTTATTTTACATATCTTTTATTTACAGACGTATATTTTTTTACAGAAACCTGCGTTGAAGACATGCAAGGAGAATTCAAAGAAAAAAAGAAGGCTTTTGACGTATTATGATCCTGTGTTCTCAATTATAAATTACAAAGCCTTTTTATTAATTACTGTCTAAACAGAGAGACATTGTCTTGATTTTCGATCAGTCAACCTAGCTTTCATAGGACAAGATCTGCTTAGTTTGAAACTAGATGGCGTTGTGTGTCAGATGTCTGAAATATTATTCTTTTCGGTTTATGAAATTGATTAAGGAATCTTTCAGTAGGTTTAGTAAGAGTATATGCTGAATCTGTAATATAAATATACGTTTAAACTAGAGGCTTAAACACATAAAAGTAGATGAACACAAAATGCAATCGCTTATACATACAAATCTCTTCACGGGTCATACTTACATACACAACTAAACACATGTGGCAGTTTCATGTGTGTATATCGTATTATACCATTGTCATTCACAAATCTACCGTAAATTATATACCCTATAATCTATAAATCCTTACTCGAAGTTTTATAATCGGGTCAAAATCTGTTAAATTTCCAGATAAACCTTCAAAATAATCTCCTTGTTAACCCTCTGCAAGGGTTGTTTCAGAAAAATCTATAAAGAATTGTCTATTTATTTACTGACATGAGGAATTTATTTTATCGAATTGGAGGACTGAATTCATACACATATCTCTTTCATAATTTCTCCATACAATTTTTGCTCCCGTGAATCACCACTCAGGAGCAAAATGTTCAAAAACATTCTTCTACTAGCAAAAAGTTCAGTGCCTGCGTTGCTGATAAAATGTGTGTGTGTGTGTGATAAAATGCAAGTAATTTTATATGTAAGTAGACTAATGATAACATTGAAATTGACAACCTGCAATATACTCGTAATATGTAAAGGAATCTTATAATTATTTTTATATGGCAGCATCTAATTGGTACCTTGCAGCTATGAGCGGGGAGTAGAGGGGCACTTTCTTACGTCAATATCGTGACGTCACTGCACTTAATATATTGTTACTTTTAAGTTTGAAGTGTAAACTCCTTTAGGCGCGTTGGGCTTTTTTGAACAACAAACAAAAGAATGTATTTTATGGTTGAACAAAAATATTTTGTTTGAGATTGGAAAAAACCATTGCACCCGCATCACTCACCACACACACGTTACCGTCACCTCTGTATACGAGTATAAGTATCTACATACATATATTGGCCCCGTTTATTGAAGTGAAAACTTCTTTAGGCGCGTTGGGCATTTTTGAGATGGGAAAGAACAATTGAACTCGCGTTGTTGTTTGAATTTTCTCATATTTTACAGTAATTCCAAAAAAAAATTGATTTACCCTCGTATCGTATGAGTGGTAATCATACGATTTTATTTATATTACATGTTTTATTAACATTTAACAAGAATTCAAACTTTCCTTCACAACTATTAAAATGAATTTAATATTCACGGGAGACACGTAACATTGAGATTTAGGGGGAAGTTATAAATTGTCCTAAGTCAGCAACATATGAACATTATTACCAACCTCACATTATCTGAATTCAGTAGCCATAAGAGGTCAAAGGGCCTGTTAAATTAGCAATTAGCCGTGCTCAGAGTCATGCGAACATGGCACAATATTATTACTCTCGAAATAGCGGCCGCCGTATCGAATAGCTGATATTGGGTACTTTTAATATTGATAGATAGTGTTTTCTGATTTAGGAGCTCATTACTTATTCAATGGGCTTAGTTATAATGCAAATTTAACCTCCTTTCTAAGGAGAGGCCTATGACCAGCAGTGGACTATTAAAGGCTGTTGATGATGATATACAATACCTAGACTTTAATAAAATTATGGTAAGCAATAGTGGTAGTTTCGATCGTGCCTTGGTCATAATGTTAGGGTGGATGAAGAACCTTCTATCTTATGGAGTCGGCTACGTGAACGTGAGTCTCTGAGTCAATCAGCCTGTGACTACGGCCAGTGAGACCTTAAGGTAAATTTTCGTGTTAAAAATTAATTCGTGATAAAAATTCGTTCAAAATTCAGTCCCGATCTACTGTCGATCCCACAAATGTCATAAAAGGTATTCTCGTAGTAAATTATTACTAAGACTAGTAGAATACCGATTCAACTTTCATTCACAATCCATACTTTTACGCCTAAAACACTAAACCGATTTTGAAATTTTTTACACCAATGAAAAGCAACATTATCAGCGAGTAACAGGCTACTTTTTACCGCGATAACCGACATACACGCGAGCCGAGCTGCGGGTAATAGCTAGCTAGTAATATTTATATTATTGAAGAAATAGGGTTTTTCAACACTCCGCTGTTCTGGGCCCGACGTTAGCACTTCTTCAAGGAGAGTAGTGTCCGGCCACTAAAAGTGAAACGACTGTAACCGGTTACAACCGTATTACTGTTACTGTACTGTACTATGTATCTTTTACATAACAGTAAGTATTTTGTTAACAGCTTTTCTGGTACTAAACCTTGCATTATTTATACCAAGAATTTCATTACATTATCTGCCTAAAGTCCATCAGTATTATGAAGAGCTCGATTATGAGGCGCATTACGGTACGTACGGTGTGAGGTAGGTACAGCATGTGAGAGTTTATTACACCCTTAGGGAACATACCCATATTAAGTAACTCATTTAGGGAGGGACCCATTCAGGCCTCGGTCACAGGGGCCAGGGGAGAGCTTAGGTTTTCATCCCGTAGTCAATATCATTTATAGCAAGCATTGTGTTAATAAAGGGAAATATTTATTTTATTTTTAATTTTTGTTGTCAAAAAAATGATTTAAAAGCATATTTACGCATTGCTTGGCATATGCTACGGTAGGCCACCGAAGGGGGAGGGGCTTACAAAATTGTAAAAAATTGGTCACGTAGTATGAGTTCATGGGCGGCGATAGTCACTTTCCATCAGGTGACCCGTCTGCTCGATATGATGATATGATAATAAACTTTTTTCACATCATTCATCAGACATTTCACTCGCCGGTTACGGAAACTTTTTTAAAACGGTAATCGTTCTCAAAAATGTAATAAATCACATCCGAGTACATTCTCGCCATTAGTTTTTGCTCAAAATGGATGTTACGTAACCTTCACCAAAGATAATTATGTCGGTGCCTTATCTTGACGGCTCAAATGTGGCGCGAAGCCTAATCGCACCCTTAATTTATGACTACCCTCAAAAGTAGACGAAGATTCATGTATTTTTTCTTGCTCTTACTGAAACGCGCATTTTATCTTTAAACAGCAAAAGTTTGTTTAAAATATTATTTTAATCTCATCCTTTCTTTTTTTTGAATTTACTTTTTATTAATCTTAACCAAAGTTCAGTAAATTGAAATATAGTTTTGTGTCTTTCATTTATTTATTAATTCACAAAAATGTACAATGGTGGACTTAATTCCATAGCCATTCTCTGCCAGTCTACTTTATGGTGATGTAGAAATCAGTGATTAGGTGTTCTACACTAAAATAAGGACTTCTAAAAGAAATTTAAAAAATGTTTATTAATAAAAACTTTCACACGAAAAGCGAAGAGAAATAAAAACACTGCAGCTATGGCATTGTTTAATAGAATTCCAGTAACTTAATGTGTGATTTTTACACATTACTAGTATGTAGTTTTAACCTTAACCTCTATTGTTTAAAATTTACCTATTACTATTTGTATTACGAAAATGTTCACGTTGCAGACGTGCTAAAACTCTTAGTAATCTTCTCTCTCTTCTTCTAGTAATCTTAGAAAATACCTTCTCCTAATCAGAAGTACATACGGAACAACAAAGCAAAATGTACACATCATTTTCCTAAAACGTTGAAACTTCGATTATAGAAAAAGAAAATTGCTGTTAGCCGTATTGTTGTCCACGCTAAGAGGTTTTAAATAAACACCACAAATCTTGTTAGTTTTATTGATCACTGTTTATATCTAATTTCACACACACATATGTGTTTAGGAATATAGAAAAACTTGAAACAAACAATATGTCAACCCGTCTGGCCAGCGAGGTATAGTAGGCCAAAACCTGCTTTCTAAGGAGAGGCCTATGTCCAGCAGTGGACGGTTATAGGCTGTTGATGATTAGGAATATAGAATTTTAGTATCCAGCTCTTTATCTCCGTCTCGTTTTAGTCTCACTTACGTTGTAAGGGACTAGCCAGCCAGGCGGTAATACGAGGCGTTGCAGCCACCCACCTTGTGACCGGGCTGGCCACAGCGGAAGCATCGGTCACCTACGGTGGCCTCCGCCGTGCAGTGAACCCCTACGTGCCCCACTGACATGCACCAAATGCATTATATTTAACTAAACATACTTATATATTTCAAAATACATACATATATTACAGATAAACCAGTTGGTACCCTCGACTTCGTTCGCTTGGAATTTGTAGGTGTAGTACGATTACGCGACTGCAGTCTTAAGTAGGCTTTTTCTGAAAGGAAAAATAGCCTTAATTACTGCTTATATAGACCGCTACCTGGTAGTAAAATATAATTAAAATCGGTACAACCGTGTTGAATATTACCCGAACTAACAGAAAGACAGACAAGAAATATCTGGCTATCGTCCTTTGGCTTAACAATCAGGTTCGTTAACCACTAAACCATCAGGGCCAATAATAGGAACACAATTATGATACAATATTATATAAAAAATATTTTATAATAAAATAAAATAAATTATCTTTATAGTACCACACTTTGTATTTAACGTAGCAATATGCATTAGAACAATTGACTGCTAACATCGGTAGTTACGAATTCAATTTCTTCAGCCTGTTGCCGTCCACTGCTGAACGACTGCTGTCTTGGGCAGTCCGAATCCATCCGCTGCCAACTATTTTCTTCAAGTCGTCGGTCCATCCCTACACTACGTTTGCCTAAACGCGGTCTCCACTCTAACACATGTCGACTCCAGCGACCATCAGTCGACATGACTGGCCCACTTCTGCTTTAGCGTACTGAATCTCTGTGCGATGTCGGTTACTCTAGTTTTCTGTCGAATAACTTCGTTACGAATTTTATCGACTAGAGAAACACCAAG